TTTTGTTCAGTGTATTGTAGCTTGCATTCAGCTCCTGTTTTTGTTGCTCGTCCGTGCACTGGATAATCTTTTGCTTCACTGTCCTTCTCTCTTCTATTAGTTTCCAAGTGTCCGTAGTGAGCCACTGTTTGTCCTGTCTCTTTTTTCTGCCTAGAATTTCTATGCAGGTTTGGCTCCACACCGTTTTCAAGTTGTTCCAGTGCTTTTCAACGCCGACCTCTTCGCTAGTGTTGATTTGTGTCTCGGCTTTGTCCTTTATGCTTGCAATGAAGATGTCCTTTGTAGCCTGGTCCTTCAGCTTTTGAGTGTTGAACTTGGCTTGTGGTCTATCTGCAGCTCCTGATTCCCTGAAAGCTTTTAATTTGATTTGGATTGTCCCTTGTACGAGATAGTGGTCTGAGCCAACGTCTGCTCCTCTTCTTGCTTTTGTGTCCAGTAGGCTGCGCCTCCACTTCCTTGAGATTGAGATGAAGTCGATTTGGTTTTTGGTTTGCCCGTCTGGTGACACCCATGTAGCCTTGTGGATATCTTTGTGCTTGTATACACTGCCACCAATCACCAGTTCGTTGAAGGCGCAGAAGTCGGCGAAGAGTTCTCCGTTTTCATTCATTTCTCCTAGAGCTTCTCTACCCATGATGAGTTCCCTTCCCGTATTGTCTGGTCCCAGTTTGGCGTTCATGTCTCCCATTAGTATTAGTTGGTGCTAATACAACTTCCCAAATAGGTGAAGTGGTCAACATGTTCTATCACTTCACTCCCTATTGCTAAGTTAGGGGTTGATTTTTGATTTTTTTTTTATTTTGTTATATCAGAAATGTAGTTGTGTGGAATTCAGCGCTATTTTTGTATGAGTATGTTTTCTTTTGGATCGATAGAGATGTGTTATGTTTATCAGCTTTGAATTGTTATGGTGGTCAAACCAAAAAAATGGCTTCATCAGTCAGCAAGTTGGGTGTCGCCGAAGACATTGGCCAGCGGTTGCACTATATCGTCAATTGGCAGAAGTTAGAATTCATGGGCTGGCCATTGGATCGGGTCCCAGTGGCTTAATGGTCTACGAGCTAGCTCGCCTTGTAACCAGAAGGTCCTGGGTTCGACCCCTGGCGTGGCTGTGGGTGCGTACTGATGAAGAGTCCCGATCTAGGACGAAACAGCTGACTGTCCAGTACTCTCTGCAGGTTTTCCAGTGGTTCTTCAACCAATATCAGCTCATGATGAAATCCTGTAACAAATCCATAAGAGTTAGTTTGAGTCAGCTAGCCAGCCACTGATATTCAGTGTGTATTTTAGTGTTGATGCTATGGAATTGTAATCCGTTGATTTTATTACTAATTGATTCGGTGTTATTTAAACAACATTATTGTGGTTAATGACACTAATTCATTCACTATTATGGATGCATATAACTGTAAAGCCTGATGATAAAGTTATCGAAAAGAATACGTCCGTCGGTGGCACAGTGGTTAGGACTCTCGCCGACCATGCACATGGTCCGGGGTTCGAGCCCACGCCGACGCACACCTGATATCTATGGTCGGCCTCCAAAATTTGGGCTACCGATATCCATGCTGAAAATTCCATACTTGTACCGAAAGTACAGTGTGGAATCAAGCTGTAAAAAAAAATCAAAAAAAAAAAATCAAAAATCAAAACATGTTCTATCACTTCACTCCCTATTGCTAAGTTAGGGGTTGACGTGGTCCAGTCCTGTAGCAGCATCCTACATTTTGTAGGGGCGAATCGCATGCCAAACATACGAAGATTTCTGCTCAAGGTGTTCAGAAGACTCTGCATTTTGTCAGAATCCTCCCCTAACAGGACTATGTCATCTGTATATTCTAAGTCCATAAGACTATTCCCTGGTAACAAGTCGATTTATAAGTCGTTACTGTCAGTTAAGGATACTTCCATTATAACATCTATGATGAAGTTAAACAGAAACGGGGAAAGTGGACATCCCTGCCAGAAACCACTGGTTGTTACCAATTCAGATGACAATTCCCCATAAGCCCTTACACGGTTACGTGAGTTTGAATAGAGTGCCTTGATTAGTGCAATGTACTTTCTTGGCACTCCCTTCACAGTCAAACATTGCTATAGTACCTTTCGATCCACGGAGTCGAAGGCCGCCTTCAAGTCAAGAAATATGACAATTGTTCGACGCCGAAAAGTGTGTCTATGTTCTAGAATCTGTCGAAGAGTGAAGATATGATCTATTCACCCTCTACCTGGTCTAAAGCCTCCTTGATTTTCCCCTGTCTGTTCCTCCCGAGTTCTGCTTAGTCTATGCATGTTTACTGAGCCTAGGGATTTTAGAGACTATGTTCGTTAGGCTGATCCTTTGGATGAGAAATTAATGACTGAATTCTTAGTGTCTTTTATCTCGAAAAGTGATAACTTCAACTTGTTATCTAATTCCGTAGGTACACCGCTAAACAGGCCAAAGTCTGTCTATGATGAATCAATCAATTATGGATTATCAGTTCGTGATAAAATCAAACTAAAAAAAATTACCATCACATAGGAAGTACTCGGACACACAAAACTAGTATTACATGGCAGGATTTACAGAGGCTAGTGAGATAAAAGCCGGTGAGTAAGGCAATAACTATTCTAAACTAGATAGTTGAATATATAAATAAAAATATCAAGTGTTGGAATTTGCACGGATTTTGATTGGCTAGAGGTTTGATAATAAGTTGATATCAGTTAGAGAATCAGTGGGAAACTACCAGGGAGCAGTGAACAGCTTTTTCATCCTAGTTCGGCGCAAGACCACTCAGGTGCGAACACCTAGGACCTTCCGGTTACAAGGTAAGCTTGTTTGTTCCATGTCATCAAAGATGACAGAGCCATCCCATACCGTGTTCGTATTTTGTCACTCAAATGGACAAAGCAAAAGGTTTATTAGAACACTTAGGAGACTTTTACTGAAAGTTGAGGGAAGAGACATGTACAAAACCATTCATCAAGAGGTTGCTTTTTGTCTACGGAAAAAGATCTCATCATGCATCTATCCGCATAGAAGACAAAAATCTGGCATAGAATTCATCAATAGAGCCAATATTACATATGAAGAATATCACATTGTTCTAATATAATTTCTTTTTATCATGATTCCCAAACAACAGGTAATTAGACATCCATCCAGTGCTTAATCCACGTTTCACGGTTGATTCTATTCACAAGTACTGAATCTTGAGAAAATGTAAACACTCACTAGGAGTGGAATCTAAAACTTGAAAATTAAGCTATCACATCATGATTAAAGTTCTTGCTCCTGTTTTTTTTTTTTTTTGATTACAGCTTGATTCCACACTGTATTTTTGGTACAAGTATGGAATTTTCATCATGGATATCGGTAGCCCAAAATTCGCAGGCCGACCATAGATATCAGGTGTGCGTCGGCGTGGGCTCGAACCCGGACCATGTGCATGGTCGGCGAGAGTCCTAACCGCAAAGTGATTTGGAAAGTACTTCAACACTATGGCGCGAAGTGCCCCAAATGTTTATTAACCTCATTCAACAGTTGTGCGACAATGACACATGTAAAGTGATCCACAACAAGAAACTCAGCGAGGTGGTCGAAGTGAATATAGGAGTAAGAAAAGACTGCATATTATCACCAAATATATTCAATTGTGGTCGACTGAATTATACGGAGGAATCCCCCCGTTGGGAGGAAGAAGACAGGAATACGCTGCACTGACAGATAAGAAGACTATAGAGGATCTGCATTTCGCAAACGATTTATGCTTAATGTTACACAAACTCGAAGGCCTGCAGGGGAAAACCAACAAACTGGCTGAAGAAGCCAAAAGAGATGACAACGCTCCAGCTGAAAATTGAGAAGAAGGTGATGGAGATAACAAATCGACAACAACCAGCCGTAATCACTATCAATGGAGAACATTTGAAAGAGGTAAATCCCTTCACTTACCTAATCAGGTAAAACCATTTCAACTACAGCCAATGTTGATGAGGATGTCAAAACCAGACTGGATTGGAAAGGCAAAACAGACACCTCCATCAATCGGTAATCAGTTTGGAAATCTTATCCGCTCTGTCGAAGCATAAACAACAAGATTCAAACTTTTAATAACGATGTTAAGTCAGTCAGTCAGTCAGTCATTTCTTCTGTATTGGTCAGAAACTTGAGGCACACGTGTCACGGAAAGCATTTCCAATATGCTACGGAAAACTTTTATCAACAGCTGACACCTTCACTGGCTCCATATTGACGATCGGATGGCTGGCTGACTGCCAGGTCAAAAAGAATTACGAACAAAAAACTCTTGCTGGCAACGAACCAACCTAGAACCGATTGCTCAACAAATACATAGAAATAAATGGATAGGGACTGGGCACACGTCACTGAGGAGACCGCTAAATGACATCGCACTCATTGCAGACCATCGCTCATCTGTCTGTCTGTCTGTTTTCGACATAGAACTTTGCACAAATGTGCGGAAGTTCAAGTCGCCACACTCCGTGTAGCACGCGAAGCAAGAGAAGAAAGTACAAGAAAAGCATAATAGACACAGTAAACAGAGATGTGAGACAAAGGAGTAATAAAGAAAACAAAACAGTTTCATTGGAAATCATAAGTCACAAGGAGTGGATGCATCTGCGCCACTGACCATCGCTCGAGTGGAACTTAACTGGGTAACGACGAGTAGGGCATTGGTCCGAGGGTGACATGAGGGAGATCGTGTGGTGAAATAGAGATGACAGACTATGGAAAATCGTGGGGACAGTAAGCTAAAGAGGGCTGATGAAAATATGACGCAATGGAGACGTGTTGTCAAAATCCTCCTGGTGTCCCACCCAGAACCCAAGGGAACAATAATAAAAACGAAATTTTCAAATCAATACAGGTGTACAACTTTCATAATAAAGACAATCAAAGAAAACAGTCTTTACCACCAGTCAGTCATATAAACACACAAACAACGACATAACAATAATAATAATAATTATTATAAAAGTATAAGACTTACCTAAATATGGTATACATGGAAGACGTGCATTATCTACAGCAGTACGCAAATTGACATAATTATGCTCTTGTGAAAAGAGATCAGCCAATTTACGAAATGTATGTCGATCACGTGATGACAGGTTAGACCATGTAGCATTCAGACGATAAATACACTGTACATGTAAACCGGAGACAATAGCCATTGCTGATGAAAAATTATTCATATCAACCAATTTCTAGGCAGAAAAGAAGACAAGAAGAAATAAATAAATAAACTAAAAGGTCATTGTAGGCGTATTATCTGTCTTTTAAAAACCAAATAACACAAGTCTACCTACTCATTTATTTATTATAAATTCGAGCAGGGAAAGAACAAACAGTCTTATGTTATTCAAGTGTAGGTTTGCAGGGATTTGACCGGTTACAGGTTTTCATCATGAGTTGATGTAGGTTAGAAAACCACTGGAAAACCACCTGGGAGTATCGAACGGGTGTTTTGAACCACTCGTTTGCGAGTCTTCACTAGTATGCCACTGGCTTGAAGCCCTATGTTCCACTGGGAACGTGAAGGAAAAAAAAACTTTAAACTTTGCTAGACACCGTCGTCATTCAATGGACACCAGTAACCAACATCTAATATTATAAAGTGTTTAGTTAACAGGAATTCGACTAATTTCATTAATTAGGATAATCACTGGGAACACCACTTAGTACCGGACAGTCGTTTCATGCAAATTCGCCACTCTTACAGCAAGGCACACACACACACATGATTCCCATCCAGAATCCAAACGAATCTAAGAACTTAAAGTTATAAGGTGATCGACAATTCAATCACGATTTATATAATGACACACCGCCAGCCAGTATTATCGGCAAGTATCCATCAATCTATTTTCACCCTACTACTGATCGCAACTTCTCACTAGAATTCCAGTAAGCCTAACCTGAACTCTCAGCCACGAAAAGAGAGTAAATTAATTTTCAAGTTTTGATCCAAAAGGATTTGATCATGATCTTAAATCGTGATCTAATTTAAAATTTCTATTTGTGCCATTAAAGTACAATATATATATATATATATATATATATATATATATCTTTTTTAATTAGTACAGTACAGGACACAGTTTAACCTTGAAGAGTAATCTTTATTGACTTGATGATGGTAGACAATAGACACAGGAATAAAAATAAAAAATTAATCGATTATAATCTTAGAGAATAGTAGAGCATTATTATATGACTCTAACTTCAAAAATATCCTATTGAATTCAATACACATTAGTCATTGTATAATCAGGCAAAAATATTGTGACATTGTAGAAAATAGTCACACATAAACACACACAACTCTGCACAATATTAAGTCATCATCAGTTCAAGCCGGAAACAACAGATGACTCAAAAATAGTACTGGAGTACTATAATAAAAAATGTACTTGAAGCATCAAAGTGAAAGGAGATAGAGAGATAGAGAATAATTAAGTGAAGCATAGCAAAAATATATTTATGTAGAATAAAAAGGACAAATTCTGAGTCGCATCATCCTGAGAGAATAAAAGACGCACTGGATACAGAACTCCGACCAGAACAAGCTGGCTGCATTCAGGAAAGGCAAATCATGTACTGACCAAATTGCAACTCTACGCATCATCATCATCACAGAACAAGGTATGGAATGGCAATCAAACCTCTACCTCAACTTTATGGACTTTGAAAAGGCCTTCGACAGACAGCGTTGACCACGAAGTAATTTGGAAACTACTACTACTACGAGAACTACGGCGTACCTCAAATATTCATCAACCTTATTCAACAGCTGTACGACAACAATGGCACATGTCAAGTGATCCACAACGGAAAACTCAGCGAGGCGTTTGGAATAAACACAGGAGTCAGACAAGGGTGCTTATTATCACCAATGATATTCCTAATTGTGATGGACTGGATTACGCGTCAGACAGTGGGAAACGAGAAGACAGGAATATCCTTGACCGACGTGAAGAACATAGAAGACCTGGATTTCGCGCGTGGATGATTTATGTTTGATGTCACACAAAATCGAAGACTTACTTATTTTATTTTTCATTATATTTTATTTATTTTTATTTTTGATTACAGCTTGATTCCACACCGTATTTTTGGTACAAGTATGGAATTTTCAGCATGCGATATCGGTAGCTCAAATTTCGCAGGCCAACCATAGATATCGGGTGTGCGTCGGCGTTGGCTCGAACCCCGGACCATGTGCAGGGTCAGCGAGAGTCCTAACCACTGTGCCACCAACGCACAAACGAAAACCGACAAACTGGTCGAAGAAGCAGTCGGTGAAGACAGGACTCCACGTGAACATAGACAAGACGGAGGTTATAAAAATAATCAAACACCACCACCAACAACAACAGCAGTAAAATCAAGCGCCAATCACCATCAACGGGAGGGATTTGAAAGAGGTTACTTCACTTATCTAGCTAAGAAGCATTGTCTCAACTACAGTCAGTCGGAACGGACGAAGATGTCAAATCGAGTGAGAATCGGGAAGGCAAGCGAGAAACTCATTCATCAACCTGAAACAACCAATCTGGAAATCTTCGTCACTCAGCCAGAGTCAACAACGAAATTCGGTCGGATTTTCAATATAAACAACGTCATGTCAGTTAGCTCTTCTATACGGAACGGATCAGAAAGTTGGCGGGTGGGTCACAAAGAATATTTCCAACAGGCCATTGCAGACCTTTATTAACAACAAACTGTCTTCGCTTTATACTGAAGATCAATCACCAACAAGAAACTATGGGCACAAACAAAACAAGAATCAATCGCCCAACCAACAAATATGCTGGAGAAAGTGGAGATCGACACTGGCTCGCTGAGGAGGCAGGCCGTTGGGTGACATGGCGCGCGCATCAGGCCATTGGTCGAGTGGAACCAGGCCGAAAGGGAAGCGGTGAGTGGGACGTCAGTGCAAGGGTGACATGGAGGAGATCGTGTGAACAGGAATTCCAACAGTATGGACTAACATGTATTCAGGTGAAAAGTACAGCAAATGAAGACAGAAGCAAGTGGAAAGGACGAGGATTTCAAATCGAGCGAGAATCGGGAAGGCGAGAGACACATTCATCAGTCTGAAACCAATCTGGAAATCGTCGTTACTCAGCATCAACAACGAAATTCGGTCGGATTTTCAATACAAACCTCAAGTCAGTCAGAAACTTGGCCTTTCGCCTGCAAGTCTTCATGTTACTTTAGCCACAACAATTGCGTAGACCCCATAAAATAAGCGTGGCTCCCAATCGGGTAGTGGGTAACTAACTAATTAGATAACTATGTAAGCTGAAATTTCGTAAATTCAACCCTTCTATTACACCCGCCAGAAAATTGGCGGGTCACAAAGAATATTTCCAACAGGCTATTGCAGACCTTTATCAACAACTGTCTTCGCTCTATACTCAAGATCAGATGGCCGGGCCGGAAAGAATCGCCAACAAGAAACTATGGGAACAAACAAACAAAACAAGAACCAATCGCCAACCAACAAATATGCAGGAGAAAGTGGAGATGGACACTCACTCGCTGAGTAGAGGCCACTGGGTGACATCGCGTGCGCTTCAGGCCATTGCTCCAGTGGAACCCGAAAGAGAAGCGGCGAGTGGGACGTCAGTGCAAGGGTGACATGGAGGAGATCGTGTGAAGAGGAGTTGAAACAGTATGGACTAACATGGATGCAGGTGAAAAGTACAGCAGAAGGAAGACAGAAGCAAGTAGAGACGTGTAGTTGAAGTCCTATGTTCCACTAGGAACCCAAGGGAACAATAATACTAATAATTGTAAGACAAGGCTGTCTATTATTACCAACAATATTCCTAACTGTAGTGGAATCGATTATGCAGCAGACTCCCCGTTGGGAGAAAGAAGACGGGAATGCGCTGCACTGACCAATAAGAAGACTATGGAAGATCTCCATTTCACTCGTAGATGATTTATGTTTAATGTCACACAAACTCAAACACGACAGGCATAGGAAAACAAACAAACTGTCTGAAGAAGCCGCCAAAGATGACAACACTCCAGGTGAATATACAGAAGACGAATGGGATGAAGATAACTAACAAATCACTGTCAACGGGAGAAACTTGACAGAAGTCACTTCATTCACTTATCTCACCAGAAAGCATCCTTTTAACTACAGACGGAAGGCCTGAAGATTTCAAAGCCAGTCAGAATCAGAAAGGTAAGACGGATACACCTTCATCACACACACCCTGAAATCAATTTGGAAAACTTCTCCACTGCACTGCTCCAAAGCATAAACAACAAAATTCGGACTTTCATTACCAATGTTAAGTCAATCAGTCTGTCAGTTCTTCTATATTGATCAGAAACTTGGTGAACACGTGTGACGAGAAGCATTTCCGATAGGCCACCGCAGACTTTTATCAACAAGTGCCACCTTCACTGGTTTTATATGAAGATCAGATGGCTGGTAGGTAGAATGAATTACAACAAGAAACTGTGCAACCAACTAAGAACCTATTGTTCACCGAATATATACGAGAAAAAAATGGAGATGGATTGGACACACGCCACTGAAGAGGCCATAGAATGATATTGCATTCAATTCGAGTAGAACCCGAATGGAAACGAAGAATTCAGCCTGGGTCGTGGGTATGACATGGTATATGGTATTTGGTATATGGATTTCATTGACTGACGGAGCCATGTTTCCGTTTGACCCCATCCACGCAAACTCTTTTCCAACTTCATCGATCAGATGTCAGCTAGCACTGACTGTCGAGGGACGAAGGCGATCGATGCCTAGTCATGCATGCATGAGCAACGCATGTCCTGACCATCTTACTCAATCCATATAACTTCACAACCTCGACGATTGATTTTCCGTCCCTCCTTACCTAGTACTCAACTGAAGCCTAACCGCAATACTCCCCCCCCCCTCTAAATATAACACTTAACACTCGAGATAGACGCAGACAGTTATGATCAAAGATAGCTAGCCGCCACCAGTCAAGGTTTTCATGTCTTCCACACTGAATAGCGGTCGTGTGTCTCAGTCATAGCCAGGAATAAAGGAGGACGTAGCGAACTGCTGGTGCTATGCAATATACACACGTGCTTTGATCGATATCAAGTCCACTAAGCTAGAGATGGCATGACCCTCAGGGAAAGCATAAACCACTAACAGTTTATATATATATATATATATATATATATATATTATATATATATAGAAGGCTCCTATTTTTGTATATATATTTTAAGGGATGATGAATGATAAAGAGAAGAAAAATGTAAAACCTGCTGACAAAAACGACGACGACGACAACAACAACAACAAGAACGATAAGAAAAAGATAATTAGAAAATAAAATAAAAGAAATATCCAATGTACTTTGTTGATGAATGACCTTCATTCAATATACATATATATATTCAAAAATAATAAATAAATAAATAGCTAAATAAATGGTATAAGGAATATATACATAAGATGTACACACACGCAAATACGCGCGCGCACATTGTAGATAAGATAACAACGATTCTATCATTATCCTTTTGGACTACATTTTCTCTTTCAGAAAACACGACAAATCAACTTCTTTATTACTGCCTAAATACACACGTGTATATATATATGCATCCATCGAATGAAGAAAATGAATATCACTCAATATGACTTCTAAACAAGAAAGAGAAGGTGAGTTAAAGTCATGCAGTTACGCCCAAAATTTCTCAGATCTCATATATACAAGGCTCATATATATATATATATATATATACTGATATGCCCATTGATTGGTACAGTGAGCTGTTGACTTTGATTACTGCCTGTTCTCCTAATCATTTTGAAGAATAAATAGATATTGAGTACGCCATTGTAATGATTCTTGTTATGTGTAAGTGAGTGATTGAAGACGATATAGTCCTTCTAGGAGAGGACGCTGACAAAATACAGCAGAGACTTCTGAACACCTTGAGCTGCTAATGTTTGGCATGCTCCCGCCAAATGCAAGATGATGATGTTACAGGACTGGACTACACCGACTCCTAGATTAGAAATAGGAAGTGAAGTGGTAGAGCACGTTGACCGCTTCACTTATTTGAGAAGTACCATCAGCCAGTGCCAACGGGTTGATCTCTGACGAAATCTCAGCTGAATACGGATACAGAGGGCTAGTTTCGCATATGCCAGTTTACACCGTCTCTGGCGTAGACGAGATATCCGACTGGCTATCGACCAAAGGGCGGGTGTACTCCTCATCAGTCCGCTCCATTCCCCTTTATGGCCAGCTATGAGACCTGGCCATTGAGAGTGGAAGACATGAAAAGCCTGGCTAGCTGTCTTTGATCATAGGTGACTGCGTTCTATCTCCCGTGTGAAGTGGTATAATAAGGTGAGCAATATTGAGGTTAGGCTTCGGTCGAGTTCTAGGTAAGGAGGGGAAATCAATCGACGAGGCTGTGAAGCTACATCGACATGTGTTACGCATCCCTAGTCATCGTATTTGTCGACGGGCAGTTAGCTGACATAAGATTAGTAAGGCTGGAAGAGAGCTAGCGGAGGTCAAACCAAAACATGGATTCACCAGTTAATGAAATCTACAACGGTTAGTGTAAGTCACATAGGAAGGTGCAGACTTCCTGTCTCATTGAGGTCCTCGGGATGATAAAAGCCAATTACGGCTGGAGACAATTGGTGACATGGCTCAAACTCATCGTTCTCAATGGCCGGTTGGCGCAGATGCATCCACTCCCTGTGACTTATGATTTCCAATGAAACTGTTTTGTTCTTCATTATTACTATTCCTTTGTCTCACACCTGTGTTTGCCGTCTCTAATATGCATTTCTTCTACTTTCTTCTGTTGGTTTGTGTGCTACATGCAGGGAGTGTGGCGACTTGAACTTCCTCACATATGTGCAAAGTTCTATATCGAAAACAGACAGACAGGGTGATTGCGCCACTCTTAGAAAGAATTCAGTAATCAATGGACGAATGAATGAATGGAACTACATATGCACACACACACACACAATCTGATGACTGACACGAGGGCCAACGGAAATATAATATTTATTGCTGTTTATATCATCGATAGGTAACTAACTAACTCTCTCAACTTTGAATCTCTAATCACAGGAAATAAGTCCGCCATAAATAAATGAAGTAACCTCTGAATAACACAACGCAAAGCATAAAGGCAAAACAGTAATAATAGTAATAATAACACGATCATCGTTTTAATGTGTTACTACTGTGAATTATAAACACTATCGATATGCTTTAAAATAGCGGCATTTAAACAGTTGGGGGGGCATTGATCTTGTGATCTGTTACATCAGTTGACCAACAACACTTTCACTTGAACATTTGTTGTCAAGGTATTGTGTTGAAAACACATGAAAATAGCAGTTGCGTATCGTGTAGCTCATTTGCTCGATGTGCCAGACTAATAATTCGAAGTCTCCCTTCACCCCTCTCGCTCGAGTCCCGTGTGACTGACCCACCTTCAATCATTAACCACCATATCACCTTCAGACCAATGCCCCATTTGCCGTTCCCTATTCAGGTACCACTCAAGCTATGGGTTGCATGGCGCACGATGTCATTCAACGGTCTCCTCATGGCGTGCCTAACCTATTTCCATTTTCTTAGGAATATTTACTGAGCAATAGTTTCTTGGCTAGTTTGTTGCCATAGTTTGTTGTTGCTAATTCTGTCTAGCCTGCATGTCACCCATCTGGTCTTCAATACGGAACCAGTGAAGGTGCCTGTTGGAAATACTTTTCGTGAGGCGTTGGACAGTCTCTGACTGATTTAACATTTGTGTTGAAAATATGAATCTTGTTCTTTATGCTGAGTGAAGTGGAGGAGATTTCCAAACTGATACTAGAGTGATGAAGGTGTACCTTGATGAAATAGTCGGGTTGTTTGAGAGGAAGAGATAGAGGAAGAATTGGTTCGGCTGACTGTCATAGTTGTTGACTAAAGGGGAAATGGAAATCTGAATTTTTGATAAGACTGGCCTCTTTTACACAGGGAAGCTACGAGAATCAAGTAACTGTTAATCAGGCAGTCATTTCCCTTATGGTAGCGTAGGCCGTATTACCAGCTGAGACACTGTCTGGATGTGCCCATGAATAATTATCAGCATAATTGTCATCAGAAGGAGAGTGAAGAACAGTGAACAGCTCAATTCTAGAGCATTTGATCACTTCTGGTCAAGTGCATCATCAGCAGAGAGACTTCTTTGAGAGTCATACATAAATGACAGCCAACTTGTTTAAAAAGATTTCGCCTACACTTTCTTCATGTGGTTGAAGCCTTAGCAATCCTGATATGTATCCATACATATATATATATATATGTGTGTATGGTGGTCTCTCTTTCTGTTTGCTCGCTTAGTCTGTGACCACTTCACTTTGATGAACCTGTCTCCTTTAACAATGTATATTCCCCTTATATTATATATAATATGAGTGTTTGTTGACAGTCCGTAGCTTGGTGACAGATATCCATATTATATGTGTGGTTGTTGACATGTCTGCTATATTTTGCTATGTATATATGGATCGATACTTCATTATAATTAGCCATTCATGTTAAGACTGTCTAATGATTTGTTCACACACTTGTTTGGACATTCATATATATTTCGCTCTCACAATCTTGTGTGACACTTTGGTGTGATACCACTTATTGCATTCTCCTTGTGTTTGGAAAATAGAAGTATCATCGCAAACCTAGTGGTCTTCTGATTTCCGTCTTCTTGCGTCAGGACTATTAAATTCTCGACCAGTGCATAGCAATAATTTGGCAACGAGTATATAACAATTTGGCGACGGGGAAAACTACTATTAACCACTCAGCAGCAGCAACATAATAAATCCTTAAGAAGAATCTTGGACTTTGTGTTCAGAAACGTTTTATCCAACCTCTATTTTACTTTCAAGGCCGCAGTACTGTTTTTTTTGTTTCTTGCTTCTTTGTTGTTTTCCCGAATAACCAACTGTACCATGAACACGATATAGTCCGTTTTATGTGTAACTCATTTCCAATCTTCTGTCCCCTTGTCTCTTATAAACTATTTCCAAACTATTACGCATCTTGTCAATCCTCTTGATTATGTAAGATTATTGTCAATTTACCAAGCATAGTTATTACTTATGCACTTTGATTTGTTTTGTTACCAACTAGCACTTGACAATAACTTCTGACCTCTGCTGTCAACCGACATTGCATATTTACATAAACCCGCTAAATAACTGCACAACTGTGAAGTTATGAAAACAGGGGAACCCCTTTGCTAACTAATTTGTTCCTTAATTAACATGAATAAATTTTACATACCATTTACCATGTGTATGTGTTATACGTGAAATCAACTGATAGATTTAAATAATTCTGTGCAATTCAACAGCTACTCGCAAATAATTTGATCGATAGCGACTGCCTAGTGGAATCATCCAGAACAACACGCATTTCGTACCATTTGGAACTAACTCACTTATCAGCTAATGGATTTACCTGTATTCCCCAATGTGTGACATAGTGGGTTTCAAGCATCAGTGGGTGGGGGCATACCATCATTCACTCACGCACTCGCTTACTCACTGGGGTATGCAGGTACATCCACTAGCTGACGACTGACTCTCGAATAGGACGAAATGAGCGTTGTTTTGGATTCCACACTGCTAGTAGTCCCTCACCATCCATGAAAAAAAGAAGGAGGCTTCAAAACCTGACATTGCTAAACACAACATACTACAAAAGGAACACAGTATAAATAAAAAGATGCATGTAGGCGCCTTACGAGGAAACAATACTTGATGAATACATTTCTACACACATACACACACACAAAAGCACATAATTACTTACTTTAGCTATCCGTATAAAATGCGAGAGTATTTCTGTTCGTTTCGATAAATTTTTCTCGTTGAGGATATCTTTTTGAACCCAGAATATGATCTAAAATAGAAAAAATAGACAGACGATACAGGAGAAGTAGATAGCTAAATAGATATTTTCTGCATCAGAGGTATACTGGTAGAATACTCATCAACCAAGTGACACATCGTCCGAAGTTCGATCCCTGGCCACCAATGCACTTTTAAACCTCTCTAAGCCCGTAATATTTTTAATGATTTTGATTACAGCTTGATGCCACACTGTATTTTCAGTACAAGTAAGGAATTTTCAGCATGTGATATCGGTAGCCCAAATTTTGCAGGCCAACCATAGATATCGGGTGTGCGTGGGCAGGGGATCGAACCCCGGACCATGTGCATGGTCGGCGAGTCCCAACAAATGTGCCGCCGACGCACTAGTGAGGAGTAAAAGTTAAGCATCAGGCTAACCACCACACACCACTACTACCGAAACTTCAAAGCTCTAGCTAGTTTATTATTTATTACTATGGGAATGTAAAATAATTGACTTCCAAAAAGGTTAACAAAAAATAAACTTATAAACAATAACTGGTAATAAAAGCATTTTATTGTAATTATTCAAAATACATAAACTGAATGTGCAGCACGTGAACACTGAAAACTGTACCACACACATATATATGTACCCACACATAGTGAGGTAACGGAAATATATAGAAAGGAAGGGAGAAATAAACTGTAACAGTTGCCGCGTAAAAAAAACCAGAAAACAATAAGAGCATTCTTCTTCCAGGCATAAATTTTATAGATTTTCGATTCTGGTGCTCACTTTGTCTGTTGGGATAACAACTCGTGGATGTAGGTATTTAGCAATTGATTTTACTTTTCAGGCATCAATTGTTGAAAAATAAAATACGATGGTCTTGATATCTTGTTTCATTTTGCGAAAGTCGTATGAGTTTATTGATCAGTCTTCGAATAGGAAGATCACAAGTCATATCGCACACGGTTTGTTTTTATTCCTTCACGTTCCTAGTGGAACATAGGACTTCAAGCTAGAGGCTTGAAGCTTCGGTAGCAGTGGTGTTTATTATTTTTACAAGATAGGGTTGCCAGCTTGCCTCATGCCCAACCTTCCCTCTTAACCAGCCTTATCACTAACTTAGCGAGTGTGTCAACTGGGAATCGAACCCCGGACCACATGCTTGGTCAGCGAACCACTGCGCCACCGATGTACACATCGCATACAGTGAAACAGTATTATTATTTATTGGATGACAAAGTTTCAAACACAATTTATTATTGTTCATAATCAACGAATCATCAATTATGACTACACAACTTCGAAACTTTCATTTTACAGGATTCCTTATTCTCTCCTACTCGTCGTAGAGGTAGTCATCTTATCCCATCCTAATACCCTGCAATGATTGTTAGGTCAAATACATAGGTCAAACTAGTAGAAGAGGGTCAGTTGGACTAGCAGACCACAAAAATCTAGCAAAATCTAGACTAGTTGACCTTAATAAGATAAGAAATCCGGAGAATAGTTCCGCTATGCGAATCACTATGTGCAATCACCCACAGTCATACCATAGGATACAATGGGATAAGACGACAGTTCTAGAGTCTGATATAACAGGATAGAGAGAGACAGAGGGATTCATAATGGAAACTTTAGTTGATCGAATCAACTGAAAGTACGTGGAATAGAAATCGGTCAACACCTGTCCTGTCGGAGATCTGGAAAATTCTCCCCCTACGACAACGATAGACGAGAATAAAGAAAATTATAAAACGGAAGTTGTGTCGTTCTACGTGATGATATTGATTATGAACAATAATAAATAGTTTTAATTGAATTTTAGATTTTCCCGTCGATTGATTGGACCGAAGCGCTCGGTCTCAGGTTGACATATCGGCTTCTTTTGTAGACGCTTCGACGATATCTGAGCATTTAATTACAATTTAATTTGTGGATGGTGACTAGCAGTGGAATCCAGGATGTGCATTTCATCCTATTTGGGACTCGTCAGATGGATGTACTTGCATTTCCCAATGAGTAATGATGTTCCCACCAAGGCTTGAACCCAGTGCTCATAGTTTCAAACACCAAAGCATTATCCACTAGACCACTTGAGCCATGACAGACACCTCTTGTGCAAGGGTCATTATAATTTAATTGAATTTTAGATTTTCCCGTCGATTGATTGGACTGAAGTGCTTGGTCTTAGGTTGACATGTCAGCATCTTGTGCAGATGTTGACGATGTCAACCTAAGACCAAGCACTTCCGTCCAATCAGTCGACGGGAAAATCTAAAATTCAATTAAATTATTATGACCCGTTGCACAAGAGGTGGTTGTCGTGGCTCAAGTGGTCTAGTGGATAACGCTTTGGCGTTTGAAACTATGAGCACTGGGTTCAAGCCTTGGTGGGAACATCATTACTCATTGGGAAATGCAAGTACATCCATCTGACGAGTCCCAAATAGGACGAAATGCACATCCTGGATTCCACTGCTAGTCACCATCCACAAATTATATAATAAATTGTGTTCGAAACTTTGTCATCCAATAAACAATAATATTGTTTCATTGACTGTGTGATATATCCATCTAATAAACAAATTAATATAGAACAAAAGGATTCTGGCCTAAGCATCTACCATTAATAATAAGCATAAAATTTGCGTACCCTTGGTAAAAGGATTGGGAGAATAATTTTATTATTTCATACATATTTCACACAGTGATATTGTAATGGACAGAAAAGTAAAACGATTGTTTAATTAACTAATTAATTAATTAATTAAATATCCCCAAAAAAATTCGTTACAAATTACAAGAAAATTCAATATAAAAAACAAGAAATGATTATGATATTATTGACCATAAACATAAATTAAAAGGAATTTAAAGCATCCTCCACAGACAATGTTGAGAAATTCAAGTATTGATTTGTGGGGATTTGGTTGATTGGTTACAGGATTTCATCATAAGCTGACATTGGTTAGAGAACCATTGGAAAACCTGAGAGTACTGGACAGCCGTTTGGTCCTAGTTTGGGACTCTTCAGCAGTACACACCCACCGGGGTTCAAATCCAGGACCTTCTGGTTACAAGGCGACCTTGTAGACCATTAAGCCATTGAGACCCGATCCAATGGCCCATGAATTCCAGAAGTATCATCGCAAACCTAATGGTCTTCTGATTTCCGTCTTCTTGCGTCAAGACTATTAAATTCTCGACCAGTACATAACGATAATTTGGCGACGAGTACATAACAATTTGGCGACGAGGAAAACTACTATTAACCACTCAGCAGCAGCAACATAACAATAAGAAATAGTATAATTAATTAAGTAAGTAAGTAAGCAAACAAAATCTGAAAGTTATGCGTGTGAGCACTATGACATGATTATGAGTCACATTTAATTGTGCTCGAAAGGTCATCAGCAAATAGATAATAATAATAATAATAATACTGTATCACTGTGTGTTAAATCACATCAAATCTGCATCGAATTCGATGGTAGAAGAAAAAAGCAAAATGACAATATTGATGAGCGACAGATAAAACTGTTCATCAGAGCCTCTTATTCAACATACCTAATGTCTGTCTGGATTCAACATAGAACTTGCCACCGAAGTGCACCAGTTCGAGTTGCCACATTCCATCCCAATAGCACACAAAGGTAGACAAGAAGATGAGTGGAGAGAATTAATAGAGTTTGACAAGTATAAGAGTGAAACAGAATGGGTAATGGTAGATAGAAATATGAAAGATTACAGAGACTGAATACATGTGCGCTGGCCATTGACAACGATTTTGAGCCATGTCACCTATTGTCTCCAGCCATTGATTCCTAGAGTCCCGAGGGCCCCAACCCGGGAGTCTGCATCTCCCTCCCTACCTGACTCAGTTTAACTGTCAAGGATTTCATGGATTGATGAAGCCATGTTTTTGTTTGGCCACCACCTCTTACTCTTTTCCAACCTGCACACCTATATCAATGATTTCCAATGAAACTATATTGTTCTTGATTATAAATTATTTAAATTAATCCCAGCGTGTTAAGAAAATCAAAACAAGATTTTTCTGAACGTTTCGCCGTGTAAGTCACAGCTTCTTCAGCAGATTTATTCGGATTATAATTAATCATCAAAACATATAATTCATTGACAGGTGAATCCATGTTTTGGTTTGACCGCCATTAGCTCTTTTCCAGTCTGACCCTATATCAACTTACATTGCCCGTCGAGGAAGGCGATGACTAGGCATACGTAACACATGTCCTAACCATCTCAGTCGATGTAACTTCACAACCTCATCGATTGTTTTGCCCTCCTCATCTAACACTCGACTGAATCCTAACCTCAATATTGCTCACCTTATTATACCACTTCACATGGGAGATAGAACGCAGGCACCTATGACCAAAGACAGCTAGCCAGGCTTTTCATGTCTTCCACTCTCAATGGCCAGGTCTCACAGCTGATCATAAAGGAAGACGGAGCGGACTGATGAGCAGTACACTCGCCCTTCGGTCGATAGTCGAACATCTCGTCTACGCCAGAGACGGCGTAAACTAACAAATGCGAAACGAGCCCCCTGTATCCGTGCTGAGATTTCGTCAGAGATCAACCCGTTGACACTAGCTGATGGTACTTCCCAAATAAGTGAAGCGGTCAACGTGCTCTACTACTTCACTCCATATTTCTAAACTAGGAGTCGGTGTAGTCCAGTCCTGTAACATCATCTGGCATTTGACAGCAGGAGCGAATCGCATCCCAAACACTCGTAGATTGCATCTCAAGGTGATTAGAAGACTCTGTTCTACTTGTCAGCGTTCTCGCCTAGAAGGACTATATCGTCTGGATATTCTAAGTCAACGGGATTATTCCTTGCTGGTAGCAAGTCAATCCCTGAGTCGCTGAAGTGAGTTAGGGTTAAGTCCATTAGTACATCAATGATGAAGTTGAATAGAAATGGGGATAATGGGCATCTTTGACGGGCACCACTAGTCGTCACCACTTCAAATGACAACTCGCCATAAGCCCTCACCTGGCTGTATGAG